GGCGGGAAGCCGGGAGGCCGAGACGAAGCGTGGCGGCGGGGCGGCCCCCTCGTGGGGCGACCGCAGGCGTAGGTCTCACCGGCGCCATCGTTTCTGCGCGAGGTGGGGGCGCGCAGGCCTGAGACGGTGGACGTTTTTCCTGTGGGAGCGCTTTTTTCACTCTAGATAAACGGGGGACTTGAAGCAAACATGTACGCACGCTACTACGTGCTCTTTTGGTGTCTGTTTATGTGACCTTTGGTAATCGCGCAGTTGATTCAAGATACAACCCTGAACACTTTAGTCACAATTATATACTGTGATTGCTGATAGTATAATAATTATTCTCTCTAGTTTTAGAAGGGAGCAAATTTACGCGCAACTTAGTACCTACCAATATTAAAACAAAAATTAATAATTTGTAGTGATTCGTGTCTTATCTGTATTAAAAAGTATCTAATGATCAATATAGTTGCTATAAATTATTTACAATCTTTTTCTCCCCTATTTTGGAGGCAAGGGGAGGAAGTGCATATAGCTTGTTTTTTTCTTCTGATTCTGAACTAGCATATTAACTCATTTGAAAGTTAAGTAAGAAAAGGTCCACCTTAGTGCTAACGCCTATAACCAGTGTTCAAATTTTGATACATATATTCCCTTCCAGATTGTTTTTATGCGTGTATTGTGTATAGATAAATTTTATTTTACAGAAGTGGTGCCATGCTGTGTAATACTGTTTTTTTACAACCGGCCTCTTTCACTTAATATAGTGGATATCATTCCAAAGATAAATATATGATATTAGAGTATAAGATTGTTCCATTACTTATTTTACTAAACTTCCTTATAATGAGTGATGTCTCTATATTAAATAAATTCTATAGTGAGTGTCTTTTTGCAGATATTTCGGCATGCTTATTCGATTAATTCCATGAAATAAACTGCCAGGAGTAGAATCACTGGGTGAAAAGCTTTGTCCATTTTATAATAATTTTAAATTATGATACATCTTTCCAACTCACTCTTGATAAAGCTTGTACCAGTATATATTCCATTACCACTGACGATGTGTATGTAATCTTTTTTTCCACACTCTTTCCAATGAGAATTTACTATGCCTTTTAAAGTTACTAATCTAATAGCTGGAAAATATTTTGCTCTGTTGATGTGTTTTTTTTAATCATTAGTGAAGTTGAAGTTTGTTGTTAGCTTTTTAAATTTCCTTTTTATGATGAATTCTTAATCCACCTGTTGCATATTTATCTAAATGACTTATAAAAACTTTATATTAATGTTAACGCTTTGTCATATATAAAGGAAAAAATTCATAGTGGTTATAAGGAACTGCCCTTATTCCTAATTTCAATGGAAATGACTATAATGTTTCTCTTTAAACCTGATGATAGTTTAGAATTAGGTCAGTATAAAATAAGATCCTTCTAGTTCTGTTTTAAAAGTTAGAATAATTTTTGTGTGTATAGATATCGGGTGGAGGGTGGGGTGCACCAAGACAGAAAAATTTTTTAATTTAAAAGTTAGAAAATTAATGGTGTATTTTATATCAACTACTTTTTCAGTGGTGAATTACAGTAACATTTCCTAAGTGAAACATCCTTGCAATTCCAATGTAAACTGTACTGTATGGTTTTTATATACTGATGGAATTTTGCATCTCTGGAGCGGGGCAGCAGTAGACCATCTTAATCAGGTTTTGCTGCTTATGTGGTGCCAGTTTTGTAAAATACATTGAGAATTAATTTTTTCTCTTTGAAAGCATTGTAAGAAAAGCATTTGAATTTTATCTCTCCTTCATTCCCTCTTCTATCTACTATTATTTCTGTCTTGGTGCACCCCACCCTCCACCCAATATCTACACACACAAAAATTATCTGTTTCTTTACAGTTTGAAAAACTCCCAGTGGAACTGAGCCACAGTGGAGCTGAGCCAGAAATTCAGTGTTCTGTCTTAAGATTTATTTTTTTAATTTATGTTTCTTTTTTAATTTACATTGCTTTAAGGTGCCGTTTTCATCAAGATTTCCATATTCCCATAGACTTTATCCATAGCATTCTCTTATAATCTGTGGTCATATACTTTTTTCATGACTAATATATATTTTTGCCTCCTGGCTCTTTTTTTTTATCTTTGCCTGTATTGTTTGTTTATTGTTCGGATTTTTTTCTCCCAGGAGTCTACTCTTGGTTTTACCTAAAAGGTTTTATTCTGATTTTCATTTCCTAATTCTTTAATTCAGCTTTTCTCTTTATTAGTGCCTTCCTTTGGTGGATGTAAGTGATGACCACAAGTTATAAACCTCTTTGCTGGTCCTTATACATAGATTTGTGTTTGCAAGTAGACACAGTTGAATGAAGTCACATGGAAGAGCTGACAGCCCATGAGCTTGAGTAACAATTTTTTTCAGCTTTTAGTTATCTTTGTTATTTGGTTATCCAAATATAACAGAATATATCTTACTGCAAATAATGTGCTTAGTGGCCTACAAGTTCACCTCTCCCTAATATCCCAGCAGTACTCATTTCAAAACCCACCAGCTTATTTGAAGGTATAAGAAAAATAATTCCTTCTTACATTTAATTTACTTGTAGTTTTATTGTCTTTTATACCTTTGATAGTTAAGATTAATACTTAAACACCAAACGTTTTGCTTTAGCCTAAGCATTCATTTGTAGAGGATTTTTGGCAATAGTTTAAAAATAACCTAAAGTTGCCTATTGGTTGTGGATTTTTTAATATATTAATTGAAGATAATACACACACAGCGGGAATTTAGTATCTGCGGCTCAGGTATCTTAAAATGGAGTACTTTGCTTTGTTAGCTTTGTGTGCCACCTGCTGGCTGAGGACGGGGACTTGATGATGCCTTCTTGAGGCTATTAGGACACTAGTAAAATGATTTTGGTGAATTATATACTTAACATCCCAATTAAGCAGGCAGCCATCCAATTTGTGCAACCCAACCCCAAAACAAACTTCCTATAATATAAAAGGGCTTTTTTTTCTTTTTCCCAAATTACTCTTTAGTTGTCTCAACTATCCATTTCACTTTTGTAGGTACAATATGAAATGTGGACTTCCCTGTGTAATTCTGGTGATGTTATCACAGGGTTTCTCAACTGTGACCCTTTTCAGATTTGGGGCCAGATAATTATTTGTTATGGGGAGCTGTCCTTTGTATTATAGGATTTTTTTTGTGTGTGTACACCTGGCCTCTACCCATTAGATACTAGGAACACTCCTCAGTTGTGACAACCAAAAATACCCCTGGGCCACAAAATCTCCCTTGGTTGAGAATCAGTATATTATCATAAATCCTTATAATCTGGCAGTTTCTGACCTGATGTTAACATTCCTAAATTAAAATACATCCATCCATTGTGGTCAGAGACAGATAATACTGTAAAACAGTTAATCAAATAAAAAGGTACCCAAAGTTCATCTACAAATTAAGGGAATATTGTGGAGAAAAGAAGGTACAAAAATTTCAGAACCACTGTTCTGTTTTATTTGTGTTTTAGATTTTTGAATGAGATAATTGAAAGGGATTGGTAAATTTATAGCAAAGGGAAAACTAGTCAAGTTCTTAATACGCCAAGGTATATGGCATATATAATATAGTCCCACTTAGAAAAAAAGTTATGTAACATTAAAAAGCTTTAGAACAATAAAGAAACCTTACAAATAATTTTTTTTACTCTCTCCTACTTCATTATACCTGTTACATAGTTAAAAGAAAGAATTAGAAAGTATTCAAATAAAAACACAGGGCAGCAAGTATAAGCACAAATAGAAAAAGGCCAAACCACTCAAACTTGGTGATTTGACAATTTTGATTTCATCTCTAATTAGTAAAGCGGTTTATAGAATTTTAAATTTTACTTCTAACATTTAACAAAATAGGAACTTTCTCATTATTATTACTAATTTCTATAAAAATTGCTTTGCATACCTTTAAAATATAAATACCAGTTTTCTTTTGTTATTGTTTTGTTTTCCTCCATAAGCAGAGGTATTATAGCTTTATCTCTTGCAGCCTTTTGTAATTAACCTCTTACAGTCAATAAGGTATAACATAAATGAATTTCAGGTGAGAGGATCACCATAGTTTATTGAAGTTCCAACTCTGGTTGTTAATTAATAAGGTATCTAGAAAATAAATAACTAGTAAAAGCAGGAAAGAAACTTTTTTTAACCTATTGAAAATAAATTTAAGTGACAGCACACTAACTTATATTGGCATACCACTTTATACTTTACAAGATGTTATTACACTTCAACGTAATTTTCCAAGATTAAAGGCTGCCAAGTAAGTGGCTTATATATAACCTAGTTATGGACATGAACCTAGATCTCCTGACTAAACTAATTTTTATATCACTGTGCTATAGTGCCTTTACAACATACATGTTGCCAGTAAATTCTGCTTCAGAAAAATTTACATTAACCTTAGTGTGGGAAGACTAAAAACAGTTCTGAACAGAATCCAGAAAAATAATGAGTTTCATGTGTGGGCCTTTTTATCTGAAAAGAAAGATTGTGTCATTTATATCTATTGGCCTAGTATGAAAATTAGACTTATCAGTAGGATTGATTTGGTGTTAATCAAGAAGAAAAATGTTACTTTTAGCTATGATATGTGAGCAAATGATGTTTTCATCGTCCATTTCCAAAGTAAAGTGGGCATACTAACAGAATATTGTGATTATAAAATCCATGTTAATTTTGGTGAACAGAAAATGAGGCAAGACAAATTGGTTTAAAATGTTGATGTTTGTTTTCTTTTTAATGTAGCTTTAAAATTTTTTTTATCTTTTTAAGAGATTTACCATGCTTTTTAAATAAGGTATACAGTAAAATTAAAGTTTGCTTACTGGCATAGAACAGGATGACTTTAATAACTTGATATTTTACAAATCTGAACTTGCTAGTCATTTTTTAACAGTTCCCACTTATTTTCACAGTTAATATAAAGTGAGTATTCTACCATAGCATTTTACAAGAGATGATGATGGACAACACTGGGTTTAAGAAAGTACGATACACTTTTGTTAAAATTTCATCATGATTAGTCTAATTAATTTAAATCCTGAGTTTGAACTAAGTTGTTTGATTATTAATTTAAAATGAAGGTGATTTATATGAAAATGTTTTATATTTAAATACAAAATTGATAGCACATTATGTATGGCTTTAGCCTGTATATCTAGTGATGATATCTGCTTTCCAAATTACAGTCTGCTGCAAATTCTGAAACTCCAAACTCAACCGTCTCCAAAGAGGCCAGCACCCAGTTCTCATCATCTACGACCAGCCAAGGCTATGTTTTACCAGAAGGAAAAATCATGCCAAACACCATTTTTGTTGGTGGAATTGATGTTAGGGTATTGTATCCATATTTCATTTGTTTTAAAAAATACATTGTGAATAATGGGATTTGCGACCTGTTGGAAACATAGGTTTTTTGTACTCATGCAAGTTTGGAATTGATTTTATGTTAACCAATAGGGACTAAAACTGTCTTTGACAAAGAGCTACAGGTAGTTAGGGGATACATGAGGGAGATAATTCCACAACATTAAATCTTCTTTATAGTATCAAAAAGTTTTTGAATGCTGAGTTTTTACTCTTGAAGTCAAATTCTTCTCCATAGATGGATGAAACCGAAATAAGAAGTTTCTTTGCTAGATATGGTTCAATAAAAGAAGTGAAGATAATCACGGATCGAACTGGTGTGTCCAAAGGGTAAGTAAAACATGCTAAGTATAAATTATAGAAAGTGTGCTATGGCATCTATAGAAGAGAAGAGTTTAAAACTGATATTCTTACATTTGTATAAATAAAATCTGGTGCTTTGTCAGGTTCCTTTATGTAGAGGATAAAAGTTTGTTGCCAGCTCTTCTATTTAATAATTTCCTTGATGTTTGTATTTAAATATTTCCTGTCTTCATTTATTACACATAAGTGGGTTAGTCAGTTTTATCGATTGTTTTTGTCACACATTTCACAGTATCTTAAATTTTAACCATTATGATGTAGATAATAAATTCAGAATCTTAGATATGAATTTTCTGTTAATGAATGAAGTTTCCATGCTACCTTACTTCTGACATAGATCAGGGTAAGAAAATTTTAAAAAAAGCAGTAATATTTATGCAGGATCCATTATGTACATTTTAAAAATACTTATCTCAGTATATGCTTTATCCTTTATCATTATTCTGTCAATTATCTCATTGACTACTAGAAATTTTAGGTCATACTTACAGAGGTGATTTTATACTTATCTGCCCTTTTAGCTATGGATTTGTTTCGTTTTATAATGACGTGGATGTCCAGAAGATAGTAGAAGTAAGTAATCTTATGGGAAAATCTCTTAATTAGCTTATGTTTAATTAAGTTTAGGTTAGTTTTGTTTAGTATTGTTTCAGTCCTGAATTCTTGTATGAAATATTAGAAATATATATACTTTATGTTTGAAATTCCAAACTTAATCTTACATAGCTTGTCAGAAAATATTTTTTATTGGGCGTATCTGACTTCATGAACTAGAGACAGGACTGGATGGATAGCGTGTAAAAGTTTTTATCATGTTCATGACACCTCTGAACACTTTGACTAGAGTAGTGAGGGTAGATAAGATAGCTTCATGCAGATAAATTTTGATTTGGTGTGGTCGCACTCTGATCTATGACTGTGGGGATCTTAGAGGACTAGGTTACCAAAGTTTTAGAAGTAAAGGCTTCAAAACTGATTCTGGTTTTGCTGCTGTTTTTATTTTCAGTCACAGATAAATTTCCATGGTAAAAAGCTGAAACTGGGCCCTGCAATCAGGAAACAAAATTTCTGTGAGTAAAGAAAGGAATTGATGTTGACAGATGCATAGCTTTTCAGAGAACTAAAAATAGGTTTTGTTTTCTTTTTATTCTTTGAAAAGGTGCTCATCATGTGCAGCCACGTCCTTTGGTTTTTAATCCCCCACCACCACCACAGTTTCAGAGTGTCTGGAGCAGTCACAACCCTGAAGTGTACATGCAGCCTCCAACCATGATGCATCCTATAACTCAGTATGTGCAGGTGAGAATTCTCTACAGTCTTGGCTTTTTATTATAGTTTTGGAAATCTTATAGATGGGACCTTTTAAAAGTAAGCCTGTCTTATTTCTGACTTCTGTGGGATTATATCCATGGTTTCCATAATAAGTGATATATATGTCCCTGTTTGAATACTTTGAGTGATGGAAAATTACTACATTTTTTAACAACCTGTCATTCTTAGTGTTACTCCTTATACTAAGTTAAAATCTGCTTCCATATACTTGGTAAGCTTTTATCTTAGAACTGACCCCTATGGCCACATAGCAAATATTTCTTCTTTTTTGCCTGTTGTGACAACTCCTTAAATATTTGAAGGCAGCTTTCCTTATGCCTGGTTTATTCTTTGTTAAGGTTAGCAGTTCTTCTCATTATTCTTTATTTGCAATGATTTTCAGATGCCTCCTCATACAGAGTGCTGGCATCCAGATGTATTCTGGTTCTAGAAAGGATAGGTTCATGATGACTTAACTGTATTTGTAAGTCCTATGAGTTTCTGGCATATAATTTATCTGGTCCTGGTTACTTTAATATTTGAAGTGGGATTTGGAATATTTAATATCTCTTACTGATGATAACACTTAGTTCATTTTACTTTCTTCAGTTTAAAAGATGTTTGGAAGAAAAGAAAGACAAGATAATGTGAAATAGGTCTACATTGCCTTTCATTTGTTTACATTTTCCATCAACCAGAAGTATAGAATGGTATATATTTTATTTTTCTTGTTCTAAGCATGGCTAGAAGAAAACTCCTATTTGCTCCTAAAACTTACTGTGAGCTATTACCTCTTCTGGCTGTATTCATGTATGCTACTATGGTAGATGTTTTGAATCAGTAAATATTTTTTGAAAGATACAATACATTGTGCAGTCTCGTTTCCAATTTTGGGTTATACACGGCCCTTAACATTTAGAAGTAAAATACAGAAAGAGCCATAAAATCTATAGGAGGACTACATATGTACTACACCTGACCCCAATAATATTGTCAAAAGAATACCAAACTGCCTAAAAGTGTTTATACAAAGAAGTAGCAGGTGTATTAATATAACTTTAACATGGAAATCTGTCCTAATAGAGCCTTATCACCAGTGTAAGAAAGAACTTTTAGGTGGAGGTAAACAAGATAAACTTAGGTTGACAAAATCAGTCACTTCTTTCATTTATCTCTTTCTTCTCCCTACCCAAAAAGCTAACATTCAACAGAGAATGCTTTTTTCTTCATGAATCCAGTAACTCAAATAGAATCCTGCATGGTATATAGAAAAATAATGAAAATTTATTTTCATATTTTTGTTGTATTAGGAATAATATTTCTTCTTCCTAGTTTTCAAAAATTTACCTTGCTAATACATTCTTTATGTAAATTTTATTTTCAGGCATACCCTTATCCCAGTTCACCAGTTCAGGTCATCACTGGATATCAGCTGCCTGTATATAATTACCAGGTAATTTAAGAAGGAACAAAATGATTTACTTTGAAATATTAGTGAGGCCTTTATCTATGTAAATTTCCCCAGTAGATTGTTATTTAAACTAGTTGAGTAGGCTTACATATAAGAAAAAATAAGAATGTGTCTAGAATTATGGGCTATATATTACTTAAGAATAAGGGAATGATATTTTGACAGGAATATACTTAGCAAAGTTTTCTTTTGTACTGTCAAGATTTGGTGTCCTCTTCTATAGTTCCACATATCTTCCTGCATCCTTGTTGTCAAATAGCTGAAATAATCCAAGCTGAATATAAATTTTTCTAGGGAGATATATTGAAATAAAATGATTACTCCAATCTTAGAGCATTGAATTACAGTTGTATTTGATAATGTTTATATTATCTGGCTGCCAAGATAGTAGTTCTCTGAATTTCTGCCCATGGAGAGGACCATATCTATGGTAATAAATTGAAAGAACTGCTATCTCTGAGTTTTCCTGAAAGCCAGCTACAGAAAATTGAGGAAAAGGCGGGGTTTATATATGAAAATAATAATAAAACCCTCAGGTACTATAAACATAAAGTACTTCTTTCTTTCATTCTTTTTCTTTTATTATAACAAGTTCAAGGAGCCAGCATGACAAATAAGTACCTCAAAACTGTCTCCTATTTGTGTGAAAATATATAAGAATATATAAATAATAGTTACTTCCTTGTTTTTAAAGATGCCACCACAGTGGTCTGGGGAACACAAGAGTTATGTTATACCTCCTCCGGTAAGGTGAATTAACCAAACATGTACTTCCCTATTCATTATTTTAATATTTTCTTGTTTGACTTATATATCTTGACCTTTAGTCATATGTATGCCTAGAAATATTTTTAAATATCCTTTTACATTATGTGTTAGGTTTTCTTAAGTTCTTGTCAATGCACGTATATACTCCTGTGGTTGGAACTGTGCTGTTTCTCATTTTTGTGTGCGTAAATGATGGCTGCTCTCCATACAACAGTACTCATGTGCTTGTTGATAGATTGCATAATCCAAGAAAGGTAGTATTAATACCTATGCTAATTCTAATCTTAGGAATCTAGAATTAGTATTGAATCTGCCTCTTGGTTTCACACATAAAATCTGTTGAAGAAAAATAAAGAAATACTTCGCTACTAATAGATGTTGTATAAGAACAGGATAAAAACAAAAGAGGGTGCTAACTCTTAAAACACTTGAGCGTTTGTTACCTTCTGTCTTTCATCAAGATATAGTTGAAGGATGTAATATGAGTTAAAATTCTTAGGCACTGGGAAATTCCTATTGCCTTGCTACATGTTGGAGTTTTCTTTGACTCCTTCTAATTCTAATCATATTGAAGCTTAGAAGACATTTCAAAATAAAAGATTGCTTTACTGCATTTCAACTAAGACTACATTGATACTTTCAGTATCAGCTCAACCTTTTGAAGAATAGATTTCTTAGAAATGTATCTAATGGATATCTCTTTACTCATACTTTTATTTTAAATGTAGACTTATACAGCTGTTAACTACCACTGTAATGAAGTTGTTCCAGGAGCTGAAATGTTGACAAGTGAATGCTCCGTTCATGAAGCTACTGCATCCTCTGGAAATGGCCCACAAAAGGCAAACATCTAATTTTACTTACTAATATTTATAGTCTCATATTTTTTCAAGTTTTAATAATGGCTCTTTATGAAGCAAGCATGTTTGCCCAAATTTAAAGATGGAAGCCATAAATTACAGAGCTTAATAGTTGATAATTCAGCAATTTATGTAAAAGTTGATGAAATCTCAGTACCCTGAAACTTTCATTGTATACATATAGTTTCTGATTCAGTAATCTTTCCCTTTTTCATTGTCCTTCCATTCAGTAATCTTTCCATTTTCATTTTTTTAACCATACTTTCATAAATACCGCATTAACATGATTTGGTAAGATGCAATAGACAGGTTTCCTTTTTTTTTCCTTTCCTACTCCACAAAAGTATGAATTATAACTACCTTGTCTTTTACCAATTCAAACATTTACTAGCTAAATTATAATATGTAATTACAGTATTATCATAACATTTGGTGGCTCTCAAGAGTGGTGGAGTTCTTAGTAATAACAGAAATACTGAAATAGGCAAAGTTGTTTCTCTATTATCTTTAGATCAGATTCCTGTAATAATGCTGTCACTCTTGAATTCTGTTTTGAATGAGTGGGAATGTAGAAGTAGTTGATATGATGGGGAAATCACAATGTAATGTTGAAGATTCCCATTGCAGTGTGTGAACTTCACCCGTGTGTTTCTCAGAGGGAAAAAATGCTGACAACTGTGAACTATAGGATGTTCAGAACTACTGAACTATACTAAACAATTCCCTGATTTGATACATGAATTAAAATTTGAAAAGATATTAAAATAGTGTATAGTATAATTAACAGGTTTTATCCTGGGTATTTTTTCTTGAAATGCTGAAGTTCATTGTTTCTTACCTAAGAGGAAAAATTTAAAAACTGAAGGGAATATCTTAGGGTTTTACTAAATTGAACTTTTTCAACCACTGCTCTGTCACTAAGACTAAGATTGCACACTATTTCTTAAATTTCAAAGAGAAGTTACATATTAAGTGACATATGGTAAGAATTACGAATTACATAAGAATTCTTTAGCAAGAAGTATATGCATTCAATAAACTTTTTAAAAATGTTTTAATAGTAAAAGGAATAATCTTTAGATTACTGAAAACTTCTGTTTCAGAAATCTGTGGACCGAAGCATACAGACGGTGGTATCTTGTCTATTTAATCCAGAGAACAGACTGAGAAACTCACCTGTTACTCAAGATGACTACTTCAAGGTATGAAAGGAATAGTATACAGGATAAAATGCACATTTGTCAGCTATGAATCGTCTTTTTTCCTATAGTATATTTAGTTTGAGTTCATGTAGATCATTTAATTGAACTCTTGGCATTTGACTGTAACCCAGTAAACCATTGTGAGAGAGTTTTACCTGGCAGTGTATTTTATGTTGCTAAAACTTCGATATAGTAGAGTTTGTCCTTGGGAAAGAAACCTTTAGCAGAAGCTGACAATTGGAAAGGTTCCTGAAAGAGGAGAGTTGAAAGAGAATATTGGCTTGACCAAATACAAAAGAAAATTTTAGATAACAGAAAGCAGAACTTAAGAGTACATGGATATTGGTACTTAAGAGAAGAAAAGAAATTGATCACTCAAATGACATACCTGAACAATGCGGGAGACAAGAGATCATGTGAAAAAGTAAAAAAAAGCTGAGTAGAAAGAAATGGAAGTTGATTCAGAGTTGGTTAAGTGGAAGAGAATGTGGGTGTTTGAATTTAAGTTCTGCTTTCTGGTCTTGATTCTATCACCTCAGATAAATCACTTAAATCTTACTAGGACTCCAGTTTTTACAAGTCTAAGATGAGGAAACATAGGACTAAAGATTTTTAAGATCCCTTTAGTTCTGAGGCTGTAAATATGGAAAGGAACTGACTGGTCTCTCCATGGGGAGAACAGGAATTTTTTCATTTTTTTATAACAGGTTTATTGATACAGAATTCACATACTATACAGTTCACCCATTTAGAATGTACAGTTCAATACTTTTAGTATGTTCACAGAATTGTACACCATGGGTCACAATATTAGAATATTTTAATCACCCCCCAAAATAAACCCCCTACCCATTTTCAGTCACTCTACATTTTCCCCACAACTCATCTATCACACCTACTTTCTTTAGAGGAATTCCCTGTTCTGGTTATTTCATATAAATAGAATAATACAAAATTTGGCCTTTTGTGACTGGGTTCTTTCACTAGTATAATGTTTTCAAGGTTCATCTATGTTAGAGCATGTTTCACTACTTCATTTCCTTTTCCTTATGGATATACCACATTTTGTTTATCCATTCTTCACTTGATAGACTTTTGGGTTGTTTCTTTTTTGCCTCTGATGAGTAATGCTGTTAACATTTTGAAGAACTGACAGAAGTTTTCCAAAATGACAGCACCATTTTCCATTCAAAGGGAAATTTTCGATCATTGTTGTATCTTAAAACAAAGGAGAATAGCTTTTTTCCATCTAAGAATTTACATAGGATGAAGCTTACAGCCTTTTTAAAGGGTAGTCTAAGGACTTTATAAATGCATAAGGGGAGAGCTGTAACAGGATTAAGTCTTTAACCATCTTCACAACAGGGAGCATAAACATACTCATTTAAAGTTGATATTTGTTCTCTGGCTATTTCATCCTGTATAGACAGTACAATTTAAAATTAAAGAACTGGGGCTATATGACAGCTTACCTTGCCCAAAGTTTTCAAGGTTAAATAAATAGTACTTAGATGATACAGTCTTTAAACTTGAGTTTTCACCTGATATTAGACAAAAGTCTCCCTTTAGACCACAATTTTCTGCTTCTCTGGGCTATGAGTCAAAAGTTGGTAGTTTGCAGATGTCTGGCATCTAGACCTATTTTGATAAGCTAAATGTTGTTTTCACTGAAATTGAATGCATTGAGGCAGGATATACATAGTAAATTCTACTCTGTTGTCCTAATTCCAGCTCCTTCAAAATCCTTCATATCTTTACCTGACCTCTGAAGGTATTTGAGTTTGTGACTTCCGGGCTTTAACTCAAATAGGATATTACCCTGTTGCAGATGACATAATTTACAGAAATCACTTTTCTTTATATGACAAACTGAATTTAATTCCTAGGAAAAGGACTAAACACAGAGAGCTAAAAGTGTGGCTGAATAAATAGAGAAGATACTATTAGGTTATTACTAGTTTACTGAGCTCCATTCCTCTTTGTAATGCCTCACCTCCCTCCATCTGCCCATCTGCCAGCAGCGTAAAGTCCAGGCATATCCTGCGTAAATATCCAGCGTAAATATCCAGGATGAAACCTGTTAATTATGGATGGGACAGTTATGGATAGGTTGTTTATTTTTCTCTTAATTTCCTAAAGAATGATCGATCTTCATCACAGGATAAGGATATGCCTTAAAATATGCCAAAACTTCTATTTTTTAACCTAAAAACCTGGGATTTCAGTTTAAGTGGAGTGCTATTCTCAAGCCATGATTTCTCCCATGTGCACTTCTTTTAGTGAAAACAGTACATTTTAAAATTAAGTTAAGGAATGCTTCCCAAAAAGGATCACTTTTCTCCCATTATTTATAGTTTTAAAACTAAAATAAATGCTTTAAGTATCTTGCAACTCTTAGGTCATAGTGATATTAGGAAATTTTTAATGAAGTATAAAGGATTGTTTCTGTCTTTTCTAGGATAAAAGAGTGCATCACTTTAGAAGAAGTCGGGCAGTGCTCAAATCTGTTTGATCCTCTCTGCTGACTTTCTAGTCTCATTGGAAGTTGTTGGTTTTGAATATTAAGAGACTGAAAGTTGTTCACTATTACATAAATTTAATGCTGAATTTGTATAAATTGTACTCAGACTTTCTACATAAGTTATATTAGATGGCCTAGTTTTACTTTACACTGAAACTGTTTTTCATTAGATGTTTATTTAGAAACGTTCTGTGTTGAATATATAGTTGAAAGTAAAAAATAGTAAAGACCGAAAGGAGTAACTTAAGATATATTTGTAAGGACTTTTTTAAACAGAAATTAACATGTTAAGAGTTTGAAAGTAAATGCTGATTTTCAGAAAATTGTTTTAGAAAACCTACTATTTTGAAAGGTCAGAATTTTGATAGTTTGAATACAGGCATTTCATTTCTCCAACAAGTAACAGTGAACATTACAATATTTACAGTGCTTAACAATTGTGCTTAACATTTATTATTTGTCTAGAAATTTACCACAAAAGCAAGAGTTTTTAAAACTACATTTTTAATCAGTGGTACTCAACATACAGTTAACTTTATTGATGTCTTCCTTATCTAAACCCAGTAAAACAGATTCTAAACTAAACAGTCCAATCAGTGGGTCTTATGTTTATTCAAAATATTTATCTTTTATCTGGAATCCACACATAGATATGCTATTTGATTGGGATGGCAATTAGGATAACTAAAATTCTGGGCCTAATTTTTTTTTAAAAATCCAAGACAAACTAAATTTTACTAGGAACATAAGCTTCTCAGTGAGTTACCATTCTCCTTTTTTTTCTTGTTTCCTTTAAATGCTAAACTTGATGGCTGTATCTTAAACTGTGCTAAATATTAGTATTAAAGTGCTGAAAATTTTTTTATGTCACTTGACAATCAGAGTATCTGAAAGGAATTTTTTATAAAAACATGAAAATATTAGTTGTTAAAAAGCAAATAGATTTGTATTTTATTAGCCTATTATATTCCCTTTATTAAAGTAAAATATATCCAGGAGAGTCAAAGTAATTTTGGCATTTCTAAACCACAAAAGTTGTTTAGTAAGCATATCCCAAGAATGTACTAGAGTCAGAGTCAACAATCCATTTCTAGATTAGCTAGTCTCCCTGTTGTTAGACATTGTATCTTGACAGGCAGCTAGAGCACCAGCACCAGGTTTGCTGTACCCACTGTCTTGCTTTTCCAGTCAGTATCCTGTTCTAGCAGAGGTACCTAGAACAGGTGATGTGAAGAGGAGAAGTAGCAGTCTGAGCAGTCTGAGAACTCAGCCCTAGAAAGGTGGCAGTAGGGTGGGTAATCCTTTCTAAGGGAAACCCTTGTATCACATCATATGATTTGCCGCAGACATGAGTTTAAAGTGGCTTCTTAGCCTTCTTTACATTGGCTCCTTTGCTACCACATGGAGACACCATTTACCTTACTTAGCCTATTGCAGTTACCATAGGCCTTCTCTTCAGGGCCTCTTGTTGTCTTAGTCTAAACAGTTTTCATTCTGAATCTGAAGAGACTTTTAACTTAAGGATCCCCAAGAGGGCTTACTTATGCCTCAGAATTTGAAAGTGCCCTGAAATTTGTCCTTTTAAGAATTCTCTGTTCTTGTTGTGTGTGTATATCATTCTGTCATTAAATCTCCAGATTACTACAGATAATACCAAGGTCTAAAGAGCCAATTCAAATTATCCCAGTATGGCCTTAAGGAAAGTAGGGGAATAAACTTTGTATTTGTCCGCTGTTTTGTTGGACTGAAGTATTTAAGAGAGTAAGGTAGAAAGACAACACAAATCCTGAACCTTTCAAAATGGAAAATTAATTTTAAAGTTAGAAATAAGTTCATATTACCTATAGCTGAAACTGTCTTTGCATAAATGAATAAAAAGAAATAAACTTCTTTTTCCCAAAGTGTTTTGGACCTACTTATTCACCCCATATTACCTAAAGAAATGGCCAGTTGGGTGGGTAGTATGTGAACAGGGGTTGAGACCCTTGAAATTCAAAAGTGTAAATATTCTTCAGTTTTTTAACCTGGCAGATTTGGTTTATAAACGCAAATTTGGGGACATTGTATTACTTACAAAGAGAGGTTTTCATAAGAAAACAACCCTTTTTATGTTGAGTTGGAAATGATTAACTGACTTCCAGAGCCGTGCATCAACAGCAGTACCTACTAGGCGTGCTGGAGCATCATATATGACTGTGGTCTCATGGCCAAGGCCCTCTCAATTTGGACTCCATAAACTCCCTTTTGTTTACTGCACACTTTGGGCCTAATCTCTGTGACCTTTTTACTTGGGGATATTGAAGTTGTCAATAATAGAGCATATATTTTTCGTTTGTTTACTTCAAATGAGGATGCATCCAGAAGATCATTACACACCACCTCTTCCTGTCCTAGCTGGAGTATTTCCAGTTCCAGAAGCTGAGGCCACAGGAAATGCCCCCCTTTGGATGCTCTTATACTCTTATTTCATGACTGACTCATTACCAAAAAATTTTGATATTCAGGTTCTGCAAGATAAAAAAGAGTGCCTTCTGAATCATTAGAGATACATTTTGATGTTTATAATTGCTGAAGATTAGTAATCCTTGAATTTTGCGTGAGTGTGTATGTATATGCTCATACATATCTACTAACCCAGAAAATTTAAGCCCTGACCACACTAAATACGGTTCTACTTGAGACCCTAAAACAGCTACATATATCTTAAAACAGTTGCTTTAAACCTATTCATATTTCAGGTATATTTTCTATTGAGAATTACCACAAAATTCTGAACACAAAACCAGGTCTTCAGGATTGAAAAAATGTCAGCACTCTTTGTAAAAAGTTGCACATTAGGGCAAAATCAAGCAACTCCAAAAAGGCTGGTAACCCTTGTAGGAAGTGTATCCTTCATGCCTTTTTCTTTGCCTAAGAACATGTTACCTTTGTCATGGTTAAATAATTATTCAATGTTGTTTAGCACCCTTAAACTGTGAGGAAGTAATTTCAAAAATAAAATACTCCACAGCAGTTCCCTATAGTTGTAAAGCCTATTACCCTCATTTCTAAAATTCTCTTCATGGTTTTTAAAGGTAAACTTATAAAAATGGGCCGCCACATTGCTTAATTGTCCTCCCTGCTTTCGTTGCTGCCATTTGAGGGTAATAAAGAGCAGCAGCTATACAGCAGCATGCCACTCTGCTTCCACAAAGATGGCAATAGAGAGGGTGGGGAACTCTAAGGGGGAGAAAAGTGGCAGTGTTTTCCATTGACCAAGTCTTGCAAATAGGCCCAGCTGTTGAGTATGATCATTTGGAATCCCTGAAACACTTCTAGATGAGGATTGCTTCTGTACATATATTGATAAGTGTGTAATCTAGCCTTTCCCAACATGATGTGTAATATGTGTCTCTGTGTGTGACTGAATCTTTTTGAGCAGTTCTTCACCACCCATCATCAAAGACTGAGTTTCCCATCTGTAGATAGTACATTTGGTGGTAGAAGACAATAAACGTAAGAAGTTCAAACTATAAACATGCGATTTTGAATGCTCATGCAAAATATTCAATCTGCATAGCAAAGAAATGATAGGTAATTCCACATCGCATTTAGAGTTAAAAACATCTGTCCAATATAGCTGTAGCTGTGGGCCAATCCCAAGAAAATGCAAAAAATTGTCTTAATGGAGAAGTTGAAACCCACTGTACAATTAAGCTCTACAGTAGCTATATTTTATGATTTTAACTGGTCTGAAATAGAAAGTTTTCCAGTTGAGACCATAGTTTGTTTTCCCAATGCACATGGAGACTTTGTATATTATGTGCATCTCCACTGAGGCTGCACCAGGAATATACCTCTTCCCACATTTAAAATTCCTGATACCAACCAGTTCACTAGGTCATTAACATTAGAACAAATGCATGACTAGGATATTGGGGTCATGAAAGCTCTCTACAAATTTGAAGCAATAACAGTATTTCAAGCAGCTCAGAAAGTTGGAGGTTTTATAATCCTTACTTGGTTTTCTCTTTTAACAGAAAAATCTAGCAAAAATATGTTATGGTTCTATCTACATCTATTGTCTTTTCCCAAAATAAAATGAATAGAGACATATTCTTACCCAATCATGGATGAAACTGTTTACTACAGAAGAAAGGTAGGGCTGACAGTCAACTAATCCACACTGGTACAGCCAGATTAGTGGTTCACAGAGGGCTGTTCCCCTCTGCCATTGCACCCTAGATAAAAATACTTGATACTGTTAATACTGCCAAGTCTTCTGAGTGCCTTCCCCCATGTTCACACCACCCTTGCCACCCCCGCTGAATAAATCTCAGTGGACCAGTGGAAATGGAAAGCCATAATTGAAACACAGAGGCCATTTTCTCTTTGCTTTTATCTAAGCTGATCCCCTTCCTAGTGCTGGACCTGCTCACAGTGTGAGTAAATCTGAAACAGTATTTAATAGTACACTTGCTAAATGAGAAAAAGTTTTAACTCTGTACTTTTTTTTTCTGAACTTGACTTGGTTGCTGCTCTTAATTCAGGTTAGTGGTGTGTCCATTCTTGACAAAAATATATATATTCTCACCAACCAAGGTTATATCCAACCAAGGATTAGATCAGCCCTGCATTGATGGGGCAAGTTTCCTCAATGATACCAGCCCACAGAGAAGCCTGAGAACAGCAGAACCATCATCTGGGGTGCTTTCAGAGATGCAGATTCTTGGGCACCACTCTCAGATGCTCTTGCTCTGTAGCCCTGGGTGAACTCAGTAATCTGTATTTTCAATAAGTCCCTCAGGGGATTCTGACCTCTTCAACACTTAGAAATACTGCACCAGATGGGGATCTCTCAGTTTATCATCTCAGGCTACCTCTTGTTCTGGGATAGCTGGATTTGGAGAAAAACCCTGTTGGGCTCATTTTGATTTCATAGGCTTAACTCATCTTTCTCTGTCAAGCCTGTGTCTAGGAGTGCCAGCTGTCCACAGGCAAGGATAACTCATGAACAGGCTGAAAAATAGATGGAATGAAATCTGAAAGCCAAGATTTCTGGCCAAAAACAAATGGTGCAAGGGAGTGACTGAAGAAGCAAAACTGGATTCTAAGGCCAAGTGCAGGCAAGCCAAAGGTGAGGGATGAGGTCTGGCTGGGAGCAGGTTGAGTGAACATGGTGGAGGCAGAGATACTGTACTTGCCTCCTGGAGGATAGAACTATGCCTCTGGCCCTCTTAGGAACATTTATTAAGAGGTATTACCCTTGGGTTTTAGGAAAGTGTGACCTGCCATCACTCCTTTTCCTGCCTTAGAATTAACTAATATGTCTCATCCTTAATAAGAATAATAATCAATATTGGAAATATGTTGAAAAATCAAATTCCAGAGATAATCTTGAGTATATTGAGATCCATGTTTTGTTTGTGTGTGTGTTGAGTTTTAAACTTGGCATAATTCACATAAAATATTAAAACTAGGTATACTTTAAAGAATGGTATATACCTAATTTAAAAAATAGGACGTTCCACTAATTTACAAATTTCTATATGCCCTCTCTGATCACATACCCTCTTACTCCTCAACAACATGTTACCATTAAATTGAATTTTGGTTTTATCATCCACCAAATGATTTGTTATTTCTTTTCACGTGTGTCTGTGTTCATGATTTTGCTTTTTTAAAGAGTTTACTTAAAGACTATTTTTTTAGAGCGATTTCAGGTCCATAGCAAAATGCGAGGAAGGCATTTTTCTGTATGCCCCCAACCACATACATGCATAGCCTTCCCATTATCAACATCCCCCACCAGA